CTCGCCAGACAGATAGAGAGAGACATAGAGACAGAAAGCGAGAAATCACCCCCCAAGGGGGGATGGTCACGCCACAATCCCTTCTCCTCCATTCTCCTCTTGGGATCTTGGGCACGCACGCACACACGCGCCTGGCGTGAGTTCTAAGCCACCGGATCTGGGACGCGAACCGTAGTCGACTACGTGGGAGTCCAGTGACATAGCCATTACGCTAACTGCTGGTTCCCCCTCCTTACTCTTTAAAAAATAAAAAACCAACCAACCAACCAACCAACAAACAAAACAAACAAAAAAAGAAAACAGCAAGGTTTTGGCTCCTTACTCCTTCAAAAAAATTATCTATGAATTTTTGTTGTGTTATTTGAGCTACTGGGCCAGGGACTTGAACTGCGGTCGGCCATGTGGAAGTTCAGTGCCTCTACCACCATGCCACCTGCCGGCCCCTGGGTCTTTACTCCTTTAAGGAAAATTCCCACCTGCAGCCTGGCATTGGGTGTGACCACGTGCCCTCTGTGTGCTGGATATATTGGGCATGTGTGTGTGCCTGGGTTTCACTCAGCCACTAGACACCTGAGACAGGGAGTGGGGTGGCCACCAGGTACGAAGCAGCCAGAGAGATAACAGTGATCATCCACTAGGGCCTCTGAGGCCTAGGTCTTCTCCCAGACCCAGGACCATGCACGGTGATGAGGCCGAGGCCCCAGGGCCAGTGGGTGCTCAGCTCACCGGTACTTGAAGATCCAATGATTCTATTTCCTCTCCTGTGGATCTGGCTCACTTACTAAGAACATTCCAGCATTCCTGATAATTCTTTAGCATACTCAAGTCTGTACTTAACTGATTTCCTGTCATGAAACTGGCCACGCAGGTTAGCTGCAGCCCTTGGTGCCCAGCGTGACTGGAGCCCTGGGCACAGGTCAGTTAGAAGCCAGGACCACAGTGCCTCGCTCAGAAGATGACACATGCAAGGTGGCCTGCCTGCACGCCCCAGGTCAGCCTGAGGTGCCGCTCAGCCAGAGTGGTGATCCCTACTCTACAAAATAATGTCTAGGGCCCAGCCAATGGCATGGGGGTTAAAGCAGCTGGATCCCATGTGACTGACTAGGCAGTTCAAGTCCTGGACCCAGTGGCTTGAAAATCACGCTGGGTGCATGTGCATATGTGCCCCAAATCCCAAGGAGAATGCAAGAGAGGGGACTGCAATGTGGCCATTCCTCTGGGGGGTGAGTTCTCACTCTCCCTCTCTTTTTCTCTGTCTGTCCCATCTTTTTGTCAGAGTGTACTTGACCTAGGGCAAAAAAAAAAAAAAAAAAAAAAAAGAAAAAGAAAAAGGAAAAGAAAATGAGTATCTGCAATGGGAGCAGGGGTGGGGGAATCAGATGACAAGGAATCAAAGAATCTCTCTTACGGTTGGCCCCATAGTACAGTTTCTCTGAGAGCCGGTGGTTCAAATCCTGGCCCCAGCAGCTTGAAAAACATGTAGGGCATGTGTATGTGTGGGCACAGAATTCTGATGGGAAGGGTAGAGAGGAGAGTGAGTGTGCCATGACCACACCCCACTGGAGGGTGCTTTCCTTCTACCTCTTGCTCTAGCGAGGGAATGCATTTTTTTTTTGAGAGGTTTTTGCTATAGGGCGCGTGCGCTCGCCAGACAGACAGAGACATAGAGACAGAAAGCGAGAAATCACCCCCCAGGGGGGAATGGTCACGCTGCAATCCCTTCTCCTCCATTCTCCTCTTGGGATCTTGGGCACGCATGCACACGCACCTGGCATGAGTTAAAGCCACCGGGTCCGGGACGCGACTACATGGGAGTCCAGCGACATAGCCATTACATTAACTGCTGGTCCCAGGGAATGCACTCTTTGGCAATAAAAAAGAATAAAAGGCACCAGCAGATGGTGTAATGGCTATGTTGCTGGACTTCCATGCAGTTGACCGTGGTTCGAGTCTTGGACCCAGTGGCTTGAAAATCAAGCTGGGCACATGTGTGAGAATGGTCAAGATCCCAGGTGATGAATGGAGGAAGGATTGTGGTGTGCGCATCCCCTGGGAGGTGATTTCTCACTTCCTCTTTCACTCTCTGTGTCTCTCTAGTGAACGCACAAGCCCTAAGGCAAAAAAAATACCTCTAGAACCAATAAGTTTGGGCTGGCAGGTGGCGTGGTGGTTAAGAGCACTGGACTCCACATGGCTGACCATGGTTTCAGTCCCAGGCCAGGCGGCTTTCTCTCTCTCTCTCTCTGGTCAGGTTTAAATAAATAAGTAAAAATATAGATATATATATAGTTTTTAAAAAGAACAAGATCCCTTCCAGCTCCGATGTTTGGTCACTCCCTCTCCAGGAGAGCAAGCCACAAGGGAGGCGGGGCGGTGGGAGTCAGGAGGGAAAGGCGGGGAAAGCCGGGATGGTTTGGTATCCAATGCGTGTTCATTTATTTTACACTTACAAAAGGAGTCGCCCACCCCTCTGCCCCATCCCCCAAAAAACAGTCTCTTTTTACAAACATTGAAAAATTAAAACCAAATGAAGATAGACAAGTTAATTTCAGTACAATTATTTTCAGTGTAGCTGTCATAATTAGAGTTTAAATTTCCTACAAGTGACCAATGTCCAAGTGACTTATAGGGAAATCCTGATTATTGGCCAAAAGGAAAATTCCATATTACAAGTTAGCAAATTCTAGTACAAAAATAGTCCGCGTGCTGGGACAGCTCTCCTCTGCGCAGTCTCTGCTCCGGCTGCGGAGTGCGCTCCTGGCGGTTCTGGTTCTCGCGCTCACGCATGGCTCATCCGTCAGAGTGAAGCGGCACAGCACCTGCCGCGGCAGGGCGAGTGTCCACCTCGGGGCCGTGCTGGAGACAGCCCCAGGGCCGCAGGGCAGAGCCCCAGCTCCAGCTCCAAACGGGGGGCCCGGAGACAGGGATGAGCTGCCCACTTCCGAGGGAACACCAGGTCTAGGGCCCAGGCCACTTCCGCCCAGGGAGCTGGGCCGGCACTGGGGCAGGACAGCACGTCTCCTCCAGCGTCTCCTCCTCCCACTGCAGCCTTGCCAGGTGAGAGGTGGCCCGGGTGTCGCAGCGGCGAGAGTGTGGCCCGGCCCTTGCTGCAGCCAGGGCAGGCCAGGGCAGACTACTTGTCCCTTAGGATGTCGAGCTGTTCCTGACACTCGGTGAAGAGGCGCTGGAAGCGGAGGTTTTGCCCGATGACTGGCAGCAGCTCCTTCAGCAGCTCCCTCTTCCGCAGGCCCTGCAGACACAGGACAGACAGCTGAGCAAGGGTGTCAGTGAGGACGCGAGACTGTGGGCCTGCCTGGCCTGGCGGAGACCCCTGTGGCTGCCCATCAGAGAAAACGGAGAGGAAGAGCAAGATCCCTCTGTGCTGAGAGGCCTGGGAGGACCGAAGGGCCGGGCTGGGCGTGTAGGAGCAGTGGCAGGTGAGAGCGCGAGGCAGGCCAGGGCTGGGCTCGGGGAGCCACGGTGATCAGTGAGGACGCGAGACTGTGGGCCTGCCTGGCCTGGCGGAGACCCCTGTGGCTGCCCATCAGAGAAAACGGAGAGGAAGAGCAAGATCCCTCTGTGCTGAGAGGCCTGGGAGGACCGAAGGGCCGGGCTGGGCGTGTAGGAGCAGTGGCAGGTGAGAGCGCGAGGCAGGCCAGGGCTGGGCTCGGGGAGCCACGGTGAGGCTGCACCTGCTCTCCTCCGTCCACTGGCACTGTCCTGCTCCCCTCCCACTGACAAGCAGTGGCTACGGAGGTTGCGCCCGGGGCAGGACGCAGGTGGCTCAGCAAGGCTGAGGGTCAGGAGCAGGCCGTTCAGGAGGGGACGCTCCCTCAGGTCGATGCGCTCAGACCTGAGGCCCAGCCCTGGGGCAGCAGTGCCCAGTGGGCAGAATGGCTTTGGTTTAGTCCCGGGCTCTCTGCCTTGGACCCCTGCCCACACCGCCTCCACATCGGGGCACGCTGGCTGCCACCTGCTGGGGCCCTTCTGCAACGTGCACCACCAGGCGGGGTCTCGGCCGCACAGGCCTGAGTCAGAGCCCTGAGAAGTGCGGCTGCCTCCAGGAAGACAACCGCCACACGGATGTACCACTGACGGCCCAGTGTGACAGATCTACTTGCCACAAGCGCAACATGACAGGAACTTGGAGGCAAGTGCAGCGTTAGGCGTGGGCCGCCCAGGTGGAAGGAGACGGGATGGGCAGATCAGCTGTGGCTGGAGACCAGCTGGAGCGGGAGTCGGGTCAGATGGAAGGGCCGCTGACGGCCAGCGTTCCCGTAGGGCGAGGGAGGGAGGAATACTGGGAGAGAGGACATGGGCAGACTTCGCATCCTTAAAGAGAGGAATGGCCTCAGAGGAAGGCTCCAGAGTGCTGATCAACACATGAAGGCACCGACACCTGGACACACTGAGGCCGTCAGGGACAGGAGAGCCCTGAAAGTCTGGGAAGGGTCAGAGCCTATCACCTGGGAAGATCGCCAGGACTCACAGCAGAGGCCTATTTCTAACATACTGGGACCAAACAAATCTTTCGCCGACACTTACAAGAATTTTTGCCAGAGGGGATGTGTGCTTGCCAGAGAGAGCGTGAGAGGAAGAGAGTGACCTCCCAGGGGAGGTCATGCTGGAGCCCCTTCTCTGCCATCTCTTCACCCCGCTGGGAGTCTGGGCGCACACATGCGTGTGTCCGATGTGTTTTTCAACTCAAAGGGGCTGGAATTTGAATTGTGTGGTCAGCCATGTGGGATCCAGTTCCTTTAACTGTCAGGCCCGCGTGAGATCACCCACGGCCTAGAGGTTTTTTTTTTTGCTATAGGGCGCGTGCACTCACCAGAAAGATGGAGAGAGACAGAGAGACAGAGACAGAAAGCAAGAAATCACCTCCCAGGGGGGATGGCCACGCTGCAATCCCTTCTCCTCCATTCTCCTCTCAGGTTCTTGGGCACGCACGCACATGTGCCTGGTGTGAGTTAAAGCCCCCAGGTCCGGGACTCGAACTGCGGTCGACTACATGGGAGTCCAGCGACATAGCCATTACACTAACTGCTGGTCCCATGGCCTAGAGTTTTTAATCCAGCCACATATTCACATGAAAGGGTTATTCATACATGAGGGTGTAATCAGAAAATATTTTTAAAATAATTATTTATTTAATTTTATTAATTATTATTCAATTTGACCAGAGAGAGATGGAGAGAGAGACAGGAAGAGAAAAGTAAGCTGCCGGGTATGGGACTTGAACCTTGGCGGACATGTGGAGTGCGGCATCTTAGCCACCACACCACCTGCTGGTCCCGTAATAAAAATAAAATTTTAAGCTTACAAAACCTCAGACGGTTAGTCATAGAAAAGACGGTGCCCTGAAATGTTTCGGGGGAAATACTCAAAGAAGAGCCAGGCACATCTGCAGAAGCACCACTCCCTGTAAGGCTGGAAACCATATGGTTGGCCACGGGTTCAGATCCCTGCCTGACCTGAAAACATGCAGACACCCAGGATCCTGAGGAGCGGGAGGGCCGGAAAGGAGACTGTGGTGTGAGAAGACCCTTGAGGGTGCTTCTCTCTCTCTCTACATGCGTGCACATGGGTTATCATTATTTTATTTTGAAAACACTTCCATTTACTTACTGAGAGATTTTAGTTATAAGGCATGTGCGCTCACCAGACAGACAGAAAGTGAAAAATCACCCCCAGGAGGGAAGGCCATGTTCCAATTCCTTCCTCTCCATTCTTCTCTTGGGATTTGGGGCACGTATGCACACATGCCGGGCTTGAGTTTCAAGCCGCTAGGTCTGGGATTTGAACCGTGGTCAGCCACTTGGGATTCCAGTGCCTCAACTGCTATGCCCCTGCTGGCTCCAACATGGGCTATCATTAAAAAAGAGAGAGAGCGAGAAAGAGACAGATTAAGTCTAGAAAATGCTAAAGTTGGTCTTAAAATAACAAACACGGGCCAGTAGGTGGTGTGGTGATTAAGAGGCTGAATCCAACATGGCGACCTCCATGGGTCTGAGTCTTGGATTTGGTGGCCCGACGAATGCCAGGTCGTGTGCATGCGTGCTCAAAAATCCTCAGAGGAGACTGGAGGTGAAGGGATTGCCGTGTGGCCATTCCCCCTTGGGGGTGATTTCTCAGTTTCCCTCTCTCTTCTGTCTCTGTCTCTGACGAATGCACGTGCCCTATGACAAAACGAAATAAAACAATACAAAAAAACCTTGAAATAAATAAACTAAAAACCCAAATAAAAACAAGCAGATAAAAAAAATGCAAATGGACTAGATTTCGAAATTAAAAAGACAAAAAACTAAAAACAGCTTATCATGTTGGATTAAACAAAAGCCAGTCATATTATGATAGCACAAAACGTAAACATGGACAGAGAAATCTGAATGTCAAAGATGGAAAACATGGGGCCAGAGGGTGGTCGAGGTGCTGGACTCCCACGTGGTCAACTGTAGTTCGAGTCTTAGACCTGGCGGCTTGCTTTCTTTTTCTCTCTGGTGACTGCATGTGTCCTATAGCAAATTATAACAAAATAATAAAAAATAAAATGAAATCATTATTTTTAAGAATCTTAAACAATGGAAAAGGTTGTTAGTAAAAACTAAACAAAAGAGGGACCAGCAGTTAGTGTAATGGCTATGTCGCTGGACTCCCACGTAGTCAACCGCGGTTCGTGTCCTGGATCCGGTGGCTTAAACTCACGTCAGGTGCGTGTGTGTGCGTGCCCAAGATCCCGAGAAGAGAATGGAGGAGAAGGGATTGCGGCGTGACCATCCCCCCTGGGGGGTGATTTCTTGCTTTCTGTCTCTCTCTCTCTGTCTGTCTGGCGAGCGCATACGCCCTATAGCAAAAACCTCTCCCCCCCAAAAAAAAGGAGAAAAAAAAACTAAACGAAAGAAACACTAACTTTATAATTATCTGACAAAGGAGACTTTAAGACAAAAAGATCATTAGGGTGAGTCAAAAGAAAGGGACAAAACTACCCTCATGGGAAAGCTTTGAAACATACAGGTCAGGAAGGCAGAAACTCGGCTGGCCCCATGGTCCCGTGTTGGCGGAGAGTTCGAGTGGGTCCTGACTGGTGTAATGAGGCTCCCGCAACTTCAGGACACAATTCTTAGGCACGTGTGGAAACACAACAAACTGCTTTTTTTTTGGGGGGGGGGGGGAGAGGTTTTTGCTATAGGGCACATGTGCTTGCCAGACAGGCAGAGAGAGACAGAGAGACAGAAAGCGAGAAATCACCCCCCAGGGGGGATGGGCACGCCGCAATCCCTTCTCCTCCATTCTCCTCTCTGGATCTTGGGCACGCACGCACACACGCCCGGCGTGAGTTTAAGCCACCGGGTCTGGGACTCGAACCGCGGTTGACTACATGGGAGTCCAGCGATGTAGCCATTACGCTAACTGCCGGTCCCTAGAGAATTATTTTTATTTAACTTATTTTATTTTGACTAGAGAGGGACAGAACGCATACACATGTGAAAGAGAGAGAGACAAACACGGAAATTGAGAAAGCAAGCCGCCCTTAACCACCACGCCACTTGCTGGCCCAAGCAAGGCAAGTTTGATATTAGGAAACTTAACATACACATTTTACCACGTTAACATACCTTAATTCTGTACTGGGTACTTAGTAAGAGCATTAAGACATGAAAGAAGAAAAGGCATGGAGTAGAGCCAGCAAGTGAAGTGGTGATCAAGACACGGGACTCTCACATGACTGACCACGGTTCGAGTCCTGCGCCTGGTGGTTTACTTTCTCACTTTCTCTCCTTGTTACTCTCTGGTGAATGTGTGTCCGAGAGTACATTAAAAATAAATAACTAAAATTAAATAAGTGATTCTTAAAAAAAAATAAGGCATGGAGTTGGAAAATAGGAAATTGAATGAATGCTTATTCAAGATGCTTTGATTGTTTATTCCAACAGAAAACATAAATTAAGAGATGAATGAATAAAAATAACAGAATCATGTAGAAAGATGTCTGATGCCTAATACATCAGCTGTGGAAGGCAGAGGCGGGCACCGTAGATCTGGTACTGCTGGGGAACTACAGAGCCATCGGCGTCGGGGGCAAGACTGGGGTAGAAAAGGAGGACAGCAAATGCTTCGGAAAGAGATGGGTGTTATTTAGGGAGGTCAAGACTAAGTATGTGAGTAGCTATGAGGGAACTGGGAAAAAGTACATCCCAGGTGCTAGAAAGATGCAGTCACAAAAATGCCTAAGAAGATCTTGAGGGTTCG